CCGCGACTAGAATCGCGTGAGGTATGCCTTAGGCCTAAAGTCTTGTACGCCGTTACATCGAGTTCCCGCGACAAAAATTGTAAGCTATCTTAACGTTTTTCATGAGATTACTTGTGAGTGCAGCTCACGTGAAGTAAGAGGCTAAGATTTGCGTGATTTGCGTTTTGCGCAGGTGCAGTATGAGTTAGGTTCTGGTTCATGTCGTCCAGTAACTGTTAATGCACAATACGCTTGAGAGTTGATGATAAAACGCCTTCACGCAAGTTCAGAAAAATGCATCAATCAATGATAACATGTTGTTTGGAAACTTGGTTGATGCTATCACAATCATTAACTTGATTAGTTGATCTCGAGGCTACAGAAGAGTGTCCACATTCCGAAATCCGCTCGCGAACTTTTCAGGAATTGTGCCAAGCTTTCGCGGGATAGAGGACTATAGTCGCCGATAGGGGACGGCTCCCGCGGTCATTGGTAACAAATGCGCACCCTTGCACATGCACGGAAGAGCGTTTTCGCAAGAAGTCCGCGCGGTTCTCAACACCCGGCGATAAATAGTCCTCCACCAAGTTTTACCGGCCAGGTGGAAGATTTTTAGTGTTCACAATCAGAAAAAGTGAGAGTCACAGTTTTGTCCACATGACCTCTTTCTAACTTCATAAAACCGAAGTTCTGGAAGACCTTACGAAGGCAAGGCATAGTTTGGACATGAACTTGAGCATGTGAGATAGACAGAACACACCCTTGCACAAACGATAGTCCAAAAGATCACGGGCGTCTGCAAAGAGTTTTCACGTTCTCCGGAGATTCTTTCCCGAGCGCGGAACTTCGGTAGCCTCGCCGAGCGAAAATTGAAAAAAACAAACATATGTTAAATATTTTCCGTAACGTTCTTTTTCAAATCAACTATAGACTGATTTCGTCACAAGCTAAGTTTATTTGCAATCTCAAAGTAAATTACGAGATAAGAATTATGTGAAAAATACACGACATTAACAATACTGCACAATAACAACCTAAAATACTCGAAACGCAGGTATAATGTAACTTTCCAGCGCTACATAAGCAAGATTGACAGAGTTACCGCTGTTCCGAATTGATTGTCAACAAGTGTCAAAGTCAAGCTTTACCGCCCTCCAAACAGAAGATTTGTATAGGGTAAAGAGTTGTGTCTTCTTTCCAATGTGTTGCTATCAAATCCCCATGTATCGCTGTAAAACGATGGGAATGCTGAGTATCGTCGCTTCTGTATCTGAAGTAAGGAGCACTAAGGCGCTTAACAAAACCAAAAAACCTATTTACTTGTCTGTAAGGCCTCTTATAGGGACCATCGCGAAGGCTCTTCAATGATGAATAGCTGTCACGCATAAGTAGTTCGATTGGATCACTGCAAGAATTAAAATAGATATTTCGAGGGAATTTGCTTTCTGAGAATATAATTCCACCAGTGCTCATCTCTGCTTGGCAGAGACTCGCATTGGCTCCTTTATCGCATGATGCTGACTCAGAAACTCACCGTGCAATCTGACAATCACCAATGGTGAACAACTACTCATTCCGTTAGCTTTCCTATGTATATGTATATGATGATAGCGATACTTTGGGAGGAGAAAATTCTTGTGTAAAATATTGCAAGCGAATTTCAGACAGTGTAGTTATTATGCTTTGGTAGTTTAAATAAAGGACTATCACTTCCGTTACTTACATTTCTAAGCAAAAATCTCCACAAATTTTTATATAAAGATCGGCAAATCATCTAAACCCATTTGCGCAAAAACTCCTTTTCGGCACCGACTTCTAACAATAGATTTTTTGCTTACTTCTTAGGCTGAAGTCCATGGTTTGCGGATTGACTTGAACAAATCCACGACTTCGCAAAAAGTCTAATCACCAACCCACATTGGTGGGCCCAAAGTCGCGTGGCTTCGTTTGACGCACAGTTATCAAGAGTTCCACTTATCGGATCGGCTTGTTGCTTTTGCCAAGCGTACTTTCTCAGACAATTCGTCTAGGACCTTTGCTGGG